ATTGGGGAACGACTGTATTAAAAATTCCATTCGTATGTCATGCCACTCCCACGAAAGAAACAATTTCTTACAGTAGAGTTTTAAACTCTATAGTCATCATCACATTTACTCTTGGCATGCGCCTCAGCTGATATGTGCACTAAAAACATTACAGTTAATTGACTCACAAAACACATCCAGTTGACATGTACTGATCGAACTATTGCTAATTCCAGTCCATGCAGAGCACTGATATGTCCCCGCTTGGCTGCGATGAACATCCAACAGAGTAAGCTGTTGTTCATTGGTGCCAAGAACATCTCCTGTGTCTTTCCGTATCCAGTTAATATTTGGGGGAGGATTTCCAGTTGCATTGCAGTGAAGAGTCGCGTTATGTCCCTCAATGATTGATGCTGGACACTCTAAGTTTAGAACCAGAGGTTCGTCTATACGAAAAAAAGGAAAATTAAGTGTTATAATACTTGATATTGATGAATTGCTCGGCGACTCGATCACTTTACTGTCAAGGTCAGCCCCTATCGGTAGAAATTGCTTCAGTGGAAATATCCCACGCGCTATGGCATTTGAGAATCTAAAGGTCTTAAAAGGTGTACTTCAACGGCTGATCCAGAGGGATGTCTGGGAGGTGGGGAGACCCCTTCCCCTTATCAGACTAGTGAGTTTTCCCACCAAAGTTTTGCATTGAAGGGATGAAATATTACTCCTCATCTGGTATAATTTCTTTTAATGGTCTACAGTTGCCTCCTCTTATGAGTGCAATTCATAGACACGGTAAGGTATTAACTTGATAATGGGGTGTGCTGTGTGACCGTGGGGTGGAGGAGGGTTCGGCGAACCTGGGTCGGTTGAAAAGTTGTTTGCCACGAAAAAAATTTCTTTGAACCCTCCTTTTCAGTAATTCCTGGATTCACGCTTTGTACAGTTGATTCTGATTTTGAAATAAGTTATTGATTTGACAATAATTTGTATGAATTAGAAAGACATCATTTGTGTAGTGAAACAGTAAAGGCCGGTTATTGAAACGAGATCCAACCCAAATTGCGGTTTTACGCAAGCAGTGAACCTCAGTGATTCTCCAGAGGGGGGTTGATTTCAGAGAAATAAATGTCCTTCCACTACAAAGTCTCGGCCTCTTGACACTGTTCACAAACAATTGATCCTCAGATAAAAGGTTGGGCTAAATTGAAGATAGCCTAGAACGTGGTTTTGTGAAACAAAGGCTAAAATTTGTTTAAATAACCGGCCCTAAGGGTTTGGTTGACACGATTTCAACTTACCAGGTACGTCTAGGCGACATGTTCTGGTGGAACTTTTACCAATTCCATTCCACGCCAGGCATTTATAATTGCCTGTTTGGCTACGGTTAAAAGCTGAAAAAGTGAGCTCCTCACTGCTACTAAGAACTTCTCCTGTTTCTTCCCATATCCAAGTAATATTCGGAGAAGGATTACCAGTAGCATTACAATAAAGAGTCAAGTTACTTCCCTGAACTAGAGAGCTTGGACATTGTATGTTTAAAATCTGGGGTCCCGCTAAAGAGAAAAGAAAAAGATCAGTTACAAAATTAATTTAAAATAATTTCCGTATTATATTAACGGCCTCATGTTCAAGACTTATCGTCTTGCGAAAAGAAAGATGTCAGTATGTCGAGTGAAATTGCGCGAGAAAAATACTGTGGTATAGAATAGTTTCCCTTCTTATCTAAAATAGTAATGCAAGTAACTGTTGTTGTTCAAAAGGGATCTTATGCCCGGTAAGTGTGCTCATGATTGAACGAGTGAGGACACGTGGTAAAATAGGGGGAATTCAGACTTAAAAATAATATTCGTGATCCAAGTGGTATGGCCAGTTTAGCTGGCAGGATTTCTTGGACAGTGGAAATACGACTTGCTGTTTTTTCCAAGAGGGCTCGATAACTAATCAATGCTTGAGGGCGTAATGCGTCTCCTTTCGGCAATTCTTGCATCTGTTACCAAATTGTATCAGTTACGAAATTAAGAGATCCTCGTAGCTAAGAACACTACTGAACTGGTAGTTGAAAATAGGACCTGAAAAAAATTCAGGCCCGTACGGGATTTGAATTGAACCCATGACCACTGCGATACAGGTGCAGCGCTCTACCAACTGAGCTAACAAGCCAACTGGGAGCTGATCAATGTGTTGGGTCCAAATAAACCATCCAAGTGATGAATGATGCCTAGCAATTTGCATTTTCGTAATGAATTAATTTCATCATGGTTTTGTCTTGCCATCGAAAAATTTCTTCGAACGCTTGTTTGCAAAAACTTGTTACCCAAAATTACCAGATAACGAGAGATTACCTCCGCGTTACAGCGTAACAGGCTATAGAAAATCGTAGTAATTTTCAAGTGCATAAAACTTCATAACCTTTCAAGCAAATGATCAAATAATTTGTTTTGAACTCTTTCCGACGAATTATTTTGAGCGTAAGTCTCAGACAAGGAGAAGAAAGAGTTAAAGATATAAGGTGTGTATCATTGACCTATATTTCTCATTGTACTTTTCGAAAGAGACATTGGTAGGGAACATTTACGGAAAGTGTAAAAAAAAAATTGTGCGATAACTTTTTTTTTGAGGAATCACCTTAGGCAGACAATATGGATACGGCAAACTCGACAGATCATACAATGACAGTTAACTCGACGAATGGAATTTCAATTCAAATAAAAAAGGAATCCCTCTTTGGCGCTTTTCTACAAGTAATTAACTAGCCAGATTATTATGATGATATACAAACGAAAGAAGAAATGGACAATAAAAAGTGCCGTTACTTAAGACTTCTCTTAACGGATCTTACGCCCCATTCACACAAAAGCCTAAACATATTTTAAATCTGTTTCGTCAGAAACGGTTTAAATTTGTTTTCTACAAAGAAACTGCTAAACCGATGCTTGACGACTTCAAATTTAGCACATTGAATGAACAAATCAGTGACTACTTGGATCTGATTTTCATTCAGTTAATCCTGAAAGTTTAGCTAAATACGTTTTACTGTGTGAATGGGGCTAGCGTCGATTAGCAAATCGCAAACAGTAAATAGAATCACTTTAACCAATGCACTTTTAACGTGTATCACCGCCTTACCTGTGGGTCGGCACACAACGCCAGCGTCATTATAATACGAACAGTAGTGGACTCCCCATCCTCTGTGATAACAGTCCAAGATCGAAATTTCATCTCCTTCACAATGCACATAGTCAAGCCATATCTGGCCAGTTCTTTGTCCAAAAGCTGTATAGCTAGGCGCTGATAAGGCTCCATCGTATCCAAGCTGACGACAAACTACATCAGCATTCCGTAGGTCCCAATAACGATTACAAATGGTTCCCCAGGTACCCATGTGTAACACTTCAACACGACCAGAAGACGGGGAATTGTCGGGACTCACCAAACGAATATCTGTAGTCGTAAATGTAAACGTTAACTAGGTATCGTGGAAATAGTAAACTTGGATTTTTTAATTTGTATATAAAATTGGAATTGTCTCACGAATTACATATTTGATTTAACTATAAGGGCCCATCCTAGGATGCTATCTTAGAGATGGAAATCTTATTTGTCTCATTTTCCTGACAGAAATATAGGCATTTACCATTTGAACCAAACTGAGCGGTTGCATCCGAAAAGGCTCATGCGTTCGGCCTTTGCAATGTTGAGAGATTTGAGGAATTTTAGATAATTTTCGTTTTCACATTGAATTAAAGTGTACCGTAGACGTAAGCTATTTTTTCAAAGTTTCTCTTGAATGACTGTCTTATAATTTGAAGTTTGTTTCCTTATTAAAGTGAGGCCTGTACGAAATGGACCTGCATATACAGGTCACCAATGTATCACGATCGCGGCCAATAATGGTAATCTTTAGTTATCCACGGTCAAATTTAGTCAGATGGACATAAAATAGAGAATGAACCTAAAAATATTCTACAAATAGTGTAAATGTGTTATTACACATTTATTTTATGATTAATCAGGGTTTTCATTCCCATATCAAAAGTAGCGCACTCGATATTCGTTAATCACTTCCTCGAACAAACTCAACTCAGAAAAGAGTTAGGGTAGGGGGAAGGTAAGATGCCGATAGGTCGTCAAACGTACGATCATGGGGCTATATATGGTGCGGTATCTGTTTTTTCTGACTTTTATTTGGCTGAGATATTGATAGGCCAAGGCGTCTAGGGGCTCAATAGGTAAAGCTTAATCTGCGCGTTTGTTTGCAGTTGATTGTTGTTTAATTTTGTCACAATTTCTTTTTATTACACTGCTCTCTTGATGGAATTTTAAATTTCTCCTATTCTCTCTATATAATCTCGCTGTTTTTTTCTGCTGACATCAGGAACGTAGCGCAAAGCACTGAAATAGCTTCCACTAAGGACACGGTTATTATAATGTCTATTACATTCCACAATAAATGCATAAGTGCTAAGTGACGATTCTAACGGCTTGGATCGACAAAAGCAACTGCTCTAACCATGTCAGCGATTTCAGCCGGAGAGTCTCCTCTTATTCTTTGGCTCATCAATACTTTAAAATTTGAGACTCCGCACCGCATCCCACCGCTATTTTTCATCCCATCCCGTCACACCGCTGCAATGAACATTTCCATCCCGATTCCGCCTTGTTAAACTCAAGTTGCTCAAGTTCACCGCCTTACTTAAACTGATAGACAAATTACAGCCTTTGCAACATTGGTGATGTACTCTTCATATCATGGAAAAAGTCAAAGACATGCTTAAGCGTATCAAGCCGGCTTAAAAGAACTTCACTTACAAGAGGACCAACAGAAAAGCTATCAAATTCTTTAGCCTATCGCACAACAATCAAGATCATATCTCAGTTACAACAAATTCGTGAACTTAAGAGAGAAAAGAGCTTCCGAAAGAAGTGATATTTGTTTCAATGCATATTACGAGCTTATACTCAAACATACCGCAAGTTGAGGGCATAAACAAAGTATGCACCGCGTACGAGAATTTTTAGAGAGATGCCTCCCTCATTCCAAAGCCCCTGCTAGAGAAAGCACTTGGACGAAACTCATTCAAATTCATGAACAAAAGTACTTGCAAACGAACAGAATCGTCATGGTCGCCAAAAAGGGAGCAGCTTATTCAAACACCTTCATGTCTCAAATTGAAAATCAAATCTTCGATAAAAGTGCTAACAAACCGCTCGTTTATTAAGAAAATAAATACTTTCTCATTTCTCTGAAGTCAGGTGAGGCGTAACTTGAGCTAAATTATGGTCCCGCCTATACTCCTCCTGTTCCCTTTCCCGTCTTCGAAACGGAGCATACCCAGGTCTCGCCTTCCTATTTTCATCACGTCTCGATTTTAAGCCTCATCCCGCATCCTACTAAACCTATGTTGCACCCTCTTAACTGTTAACATAAGTCGTAATATGCATTATGTCTTCCACAGCAGCCTCTTGGGAGAAATTCGTTGACGGTGGAAGAAAGGAATCTTGTATCGGTGTAACATTTTAGGGGTCATGCAGGCCAGTGATGCTTGCTGTGATTTTTTTCCCCTCTAAAAATGTCTCGAGCGTTTTCACAGTCATGGATATTGGTGCTTTGTGAATAAAAGTTGGCAATGAAGTTGATTCCCTCCTCTGGCCATGAAGGAATTTTATATTGAGAGCAGGAAACAGTAGCCCATTTCTGTTCAGGGAAGGCAGAATTTGAATGTACCGTTCACAAACGATTAGCTTAGCACGAGGAGACACAGGCTGAACTTAGGACGGTTAAAACGTGCAACGTTACTACGAAAGCCATGCGGCTCTCTAAATAAGACAGTACCGATTTCCACTGCTCATTATTAGGTTCTTTCGTTGTTTAGGAGTAAAGCCAGCAGATAGGACTTTGAAAGGAGTAAAACCAGTGACTTACTTAAGTGAGAGCAGCAAGGAGCCATGGAAAATTGCCAGATTTTTTTTAAAAGCATTCACTAGTCTCGTCATATTTTCTTTGTTTGACTGTCATTGAAAAATTTTTGTGATCCTGTAATGCAACAACGCTAGAAACCCATTTTATAAGGTAAAATGTTTTATCAAGGTCATGGGGCATATTAACTGGAATCAAACACTTGTTTCTCCTAGCATACTCATCAAGCCCCCACCAAGCTCCCTGGTAGCAGATGAGAGCGCGCGTGATTCACCTCATCTAGCCTGCACGTGCGGTCAACCACCTAGTGAAAAGGGCCAATTCATACGTCAAGACCGATACTGAACCCAAGGCGCAAAACTGTATCAGCAATATCCTCAGTAAATAGATATATATTGATATATTGAACGCAAGATGTAGCGTTACCTGCAGGTCGGCATACTACGCCAGCGTCTTTGCCATGCCCACAGTTGTGAACACCCCATCCTCCATGAGTGCACTGCGCTATCAAGGTCTCATTTCTTACACAGTTAACGTCATCCAGCCATATCTGACCAATACCTTGTCGAAATGCTGCATCACCAGGTGCTGATAAAGCTCCATCGTATCCAAGCTGGCGACAGACTGTATTAGCATCTTTTATGTCCCATGAATTGTCACAAATGGTTCCCCATGTACCATTGTAAAACACTTCAACACGACCAGAAGACGGTGAATTGCTGGGACTCACCAAACGAACTATGATTAGAGCGAAAAACAATGTAGCTCACTTCATATGCTACATTTTACTTCAATGCTTTGATGGTTCACCATAAATGTTTGTTATAGTTTATAGTTATGTATATGTTTCTATTTTTTAAAATTAGTTTTAAAATATGGAGCTTATAAACTAGAAAAGATATTTTAATCAAATGAAAGAGAACTTCTCAAAATGCCTTTTCTACAATTTGATTAGAAAGTAGTGGACGGATCCTTGATAGTACCCGTTACGCATCGATCCAAAGGAGCATTCGAAAAAAAGAATGGAAGAAAAAATTTTGTATTTTTTACTTAGGTGTTTCATCGCCTTACTTGTGGGTCGACACACTACGCCTGCGTCAAAATAATACCAACAATCGTGACCTTCCAATGCTCGGTGCTTGCATTCTGATATCGATGTCTCATTTCCCTCGCAATGTACTTCACTTAACCATCTCTGACCAGTATTTTGTCCAAATGCTGAGTAAAGAAATGTTGGTGCTGA